GGGAGTCATAACAAAACCATTGATTGATGTATTTACCCAAAGTATAATAATACACTGCTTGGGTCAGCATGGGAATGTAAAGGGGAATTTACACTGTTGGGCTTAATGTAAATTAAATTAACCTACCTATCTTGAATCTGAGTGTGTTTAATAACTGGTGAATTGGATTGCTTTATGATATTTGCTGGGATGCTAGTTTTTTTCTCTATTAATACACTTAACTTGCATTCTAGCTTCGCCATTCAGAGACAGGCATCGAGTGGTGGGTTGTGTGACAGTGTCTGTCAATAGTGAAGACAAATAGTGCCAGAGACACTTAACCCATCCAATCTCACCCAGGGTATAGGTCGGTCTTGTTTTCAGACTTCTTCATAAGTCTCTTTTCTTTCTTTCTTTTTTTTTTTTTTAATTTTTTTTTAAATTTTTTTTGTTTATTTCTGAATAGTGGATTGATACTGATTTGAAACTAAACTTTTTGGAAAAGTTTTTGACATGACATCAGTAATACAAGAAGAAGAAAAGTAGAACCCCAAGTTTGGCATGTGAGGTGTTGAAAGCAGGTTTGCAGCCACTTTGTAAGTTCTGGGTTTTACCTTTGAAACCTTTGACAACACAAAGGTTGATGGTGGAAATTCTGCAGTTTCCTTCTGGGTGTCCTGAAATTGTTCTTCTGTGTCCAGGGGTTCAAATAAACCAATTGACACTTACCAAGGACATTACATGTTAGATAAATCAACACATTTAATCAAAGTTATACTTCACATATTAAGCTTATGCATCACTTAATCCTCACCCTGTGGGTGAGTTTTCATTTTTGACACTTCTTTTTCTGAAGAGAACATAGAGGATACCCTGGAATGCAGGGGAAGTTCAGAAAAAAAAATGAATTCTTTAATGGCTTTTTGCTTGTCCTGGCTGTCCATGCACAGGTGACTGGAAAACTTGTGAAACCAAAAATATCTTCAGTTTATTTGTCTTTATAATCTTAAGATTTCCAGTCTGGGAAATGACTTGCTTTTGCAATTAAAAAGCAAAGTCATCAGGACACTGTTTCTGTTTGAGGACTTGGTAATCCTTGTTGTACTTAATTGAGGGTATTTGAAAAGAGTGAACAAGGATTTCAGGATTGGCTCCACAGAGGTGTTACCTAAAAAGACTCCCTTAATGCCAAGTAGTGATTTTTTTTCTCTCTCCTGCCTTTCCAAATCTTTTTTTTTAGAGGCTGAATGCCTTGTTTGATTTCACAGGAGAATAGGATATAGAAAATATGTCATTGCCTTGGTTGCTAATGCAGGAGGTAATAAATTTTCTTTGTTTTTTTGGTACTGAAAAGAAAAAGCCTGCCCTGGTTTGCTCACAGGGACACTCTTTGCTGTGTGCTCCCTTACTTTTAGTCCTTGTGCTGGACTGATTGATACAATTCTTCCTCTTTTAGAGGAGAAGAACTTGTAGCACAGGCAACAAAATCTGAATTACTTCTTCCAACTCCCTTTGAGGTTACAGTGATGGCAGTGAAGGAGGTTTAGTTTCAACAGTGATCACAGTTGCTGTAATGTGGAATATTCTTTTCTCTTGTTTTTTATTTAAAAAAAATGAGAAAAAAACCCCACCTTGTGATGCTAATGCACATTTAATTTCTATTCCTGAGGCTGCACACTTGCCATGATAAGCTCTGTTCAGTGTCATTGCTCTGAAAGCAAGTTTGATTTTGAGCCTGTTAAATGAAATATATTCAGTCTTCTATTTCAAAATGTACCTACTCTCTTAAAAATACCTCTGTGTATTTGTCATTGCACGCACTGTTAAATTGCAAACCATGAGCCACCTGTGCCCGTGCCCATTAATCTGTGTCTAAAGAAAGTAAAATAAAAGGAGTGCTCAAAGCTGGGGAAGGTGTGTCTATGCTCTCACCTTGTAAAGCAACACAGGCTAAGTTCAAATTACTGAATTCCTTATTTTCCAAAATGCAGCATGTTCATCTAAGAAATCTCTTTTGGTGTCAGATACGAATGTCACTGGCTTTGGAATAAAATGATGGACCCAAATGGGAGCCATGTAAAGCACTGTTTATTCATTGCAGTAACGTGGTGAATTCTTATTTGATTGACCCAGTTTATTTATTAGTTCAAAGGAAGATGAGTTGGCTCAAGGCCTGCATACTCTGAGAAAACACAGATTTCACTGTTTCTTAGTATTTTCATAACTTCAAATGTTACTATTTTTTCTAATTTATGCCTCCAAAAGTTTTTAAATCTGTGTATTTGACTGTTCCAATACAGCCAGTTTATTCAATTTGCTGTAATATTTATCATACTTTATGTATGGATAGTAATGGCATTAATTTGTTCTATAAGGCTAAAGAGAGGTTTTCTTGCCATTACTGTTGAATTTGGGTTTATTCCAAAATCTAATCTCACCATTGCACAGGGGAATCTCTGGTAAATGGAGGAGAGCGTAACCAATTTATAATGAACAATGTTTATTCACTTTTTAAAAGTGTAAAGCCCACATACACGTATTTATACATATAAGTGCTTTTTAACTTCTAGAAAAAGAAGGGAAGAGAAATTGTTTTGGAGAGCAATAATGATAATATTGCAATAATGACAATATTTCACAATGCTGCACCCTAAATAGCGCTACCATCACCAGCTCTTTTAGCTTTGTGCCGAAAAGCATTTGGTTCAGTGATATATTTATTTTTTTCCCTAGGAAAGTGAGGTAAAAGTGCAGGTTTTGCATTCCTGGCCAGGAGATGCACTGAAGCCCCAGCTGAGCCCAGTGCTTGGTGTCTGCGGCCCCCGCAGAGCTGAGCCTGGAGTGTCCAAGGTTTCCTTACACTCCCAGGACTGGTGGGATTGTGTAAATGTGATATTAATCTGTTGGAGGAGGAGTCCTGCAGTCGAAGCCCTGCTGCCTGTTCCATGTGTGTAAAGATTCCATGGCTGAGTCCCTGTCCCTGCCTCGGGCTCTGCCCTGAACTCATTTCTGCCTTTCCAGCCCCAGCCCTGCAGCTCCTGTGCTCCAGGGGTCCCTGGCCACGCTTCTCTGGAGGTATCAATGATGGATGGAAACCAATCCTCTTTACCAAACAAACATCCCAAATAGCGACGGGCTGTCTCAACTCAAAGTGGCTGCAAATCAGCTCCTAAATATTGTCACTGAAATGAATTCCTAGATTTGATAGTTCTTGCCAATCCTATAAATGTTTTTGAAAGAAGCATTGAATTAATGCATGATATAGAAAGGAGAAATTTGCCTTTAAATTGGAATGCAAAGTGACTGAATTCTCCAATTTCAGCCACTGTATTTGCCAAAGAACAAGCTGGAAAATGGAACTGGTATCATTCAGCTGCTCCTGGTTCACTGGGAGGCTCAGGGAAGGCAGAGTAGTTTATTGATAAACTGTAATGACCTCTAAATTTGACAGTCTGGAGTGGTGTAAGTTTGCTTTTACATTCATTTAGCACAGGAAAGCTGTAGGAAGCAGTAATGGTTTAAAAACTCTTTATTGTCAGTCATTCATACTCCCAGTAATTCCCAGTATAGGCAAGTTGGTTGAGTTTTACTGTTAATTAAATGTATGTATCATGACTGAACATGCTTCATTCTGTTACTTTTAAATATCTAAAACTGCATAGACTAGCCCAGCAGTCTCTAAATATTTTAATTGAGAGACTATTGTAATATTTTGGATTTTTAAAAAATCCCAAGCAGCAAAAAGGAAAATGTTGTGTTCCTCTTAGTAACAGAGATTACCTGTATGACAGCAGTAAGTAGCTGAACAAACATATTGTATTATTATGTATATATTTGATGTACAATTTGTTTCCAAAATTAGGTTATTTCAGTGCTTCTGGTTTATCAGGTGTGGGTGGCAGTGCAGAAATAGAGAAAACAGGGTCTCCCCACAGAAAGCTAAAATCTGACTATAAAATTCAGTTATTCCTCAGTGAGCTACAGCTGATTGAAATAAGTACAAATGTTTGAATGGCCCGCTTCCTCTGGGATATTCAACTTACGTATGCCATTGATTTGTCCATTAAAATTCTTCAGTGGTGTTCTCCAGAAATCTTCAGGGGTTTGGAGTAATAATTTTCATGTTTCTAAACCAAATTGAGCTCTGGGACCTCTGCAGAAGTTGTAGTCACAGTGTTGGAAATCTCCTGTTTAATGTGAATTTTTCAGAGGTCTGTCCCAAGTCTCTGTGGAAGGGACCAATTAAGTCTGAGAGAAATTGGTCCCAGTGACTGAAGAAGTCAAATTACAGAAATTCCCAGTCCTTGGACCAGCGTGTCTCCAACACTGATATTCATCCCTATTTTGAACCTTCAAAATCAACAGCTCGCTCATAGTGACTGATACCAGTTCCATTTTGCCTACCAACTCAGTTGATTTTATATTTTATTTCTCATTTATGATGGAATAATCAGCAGCTCTTTTTCTCATTTATTTTCTCATATTTTTATTCCAGGATTTGCCTCTGAAGCAGGGAGTGTCTGCATTAAAAATGACCTGTAGTTCTCTGCTTCATAGGTTAGAAACTTATTTTAATATTTTGTGGCTAAGCACAGTCCCATCTTTTTCAAAAACAAAAAATTAAAAATTTCCAACAATAAATTGTTTAATTGGCATTGAATGTGGATTATAAGCACTTTGCTTTGGGGCTATTTTAGACGAAATGGCTTCTACACCAATAATTAGTCCAGCTGAGGCAATGAAAGCTCTGTTTACTCGCAGCCATTTGTATGAATTAACGTTAAGTCATTAAAAAAAAAATTTTATTACAGTGGATCGTGCTAAGACTCATTTGGACATTTCCAAAGCATTGGCCAGGCTGTGTTGCTTTAAGCACTTCCATTCCAAAACTGAACCAAATTCCAAACATTTCTTGGGGGAAAGCAATCGGTTCCTAAATCACCTTGATCTCACTGGGACTGCTATAGCCAGCGCACGCCCCGCCACGGGTCCTGTATTTACTTGTGAATTGTACACCGCAGATGCTTCTTCAGCTCCCTCCTCTTCCTCCATGGGCGGTGCTTGCAGCTCCTTTACCACCTCTTCCAGCCCTACCATTTACTCTACCTCAGTCACCGACAGCAAGGCTATGCAAGTGGAGAGCTGCTCCGCGGCCGTGGGGGTAAGTAGCCGAGGGGTAAGTGAGCAGCAGCTTCCCGGTACCGCAGCCCCGCCGCCGGCGGCCACGCCGAAGCGCCACACTGTCCTCTACATCTCGCCACCTCCCGAGGACTTGCTGGACAACAGCCGGATGTCCTGCCAGGATGAGGGCTGTGGATTGGAGTCAGAGCAGAGCTGCAGTATGTGGATGGAGGATTCACCCTCCAACTTCAGTAACATGAGTACCAGTTCCTACAATGATAACACTGAGGTGCCACGTAAATCGCGCAAGCGCAACCCAAAGCAGAGGCCAGGGATCAAACGCCGAGATTGCGAAGAGTCCAACATGGATATCTTTGATGCCGACAGTGCCAAAGCGCCTCACTATGTCCTTTCTCAGCTCAGCACGGACAGCAAAAGCAACTCAAAAGCAGGAAATGGGTTGGTATCTGCTTTTTTTTTTTAAATTTTTTTTTTAAAGAAAAAACATTCTATCTCCATATGTAAACCCAAACTAATAAAAGCGCCCCCATGCCCTGGCAAATGTTCTGCTTAGGTTCTCACATAAACCCCTCCGTTCTCTGCTGTCCCTGTCATGTCCTAGCCCAGGATAAGTTCCTCCTGCCCCCAGAAATTGTGGCTGCACCTGGATCCCTGGGAATATCCAAGGCCAGGTTGGACAGTAGGGCTTGGAGCAACCTGGGATAGTGGAAGTTGTCCCTGCCCATGGCAGAAGGTGGAACTGGATCTCTTGAAGGTCCCTTTCAACACAAACCACTCCATGATTCTTTGATAAGTTCTCATTAGACTTGTTAATCTTTATTTAGAAGATAAAGCTAAACTCTCCTGCAGCAATTAAATGCAGCGCTGATGAGCTCATCTGTTCTTTAAGTGAAATTCCCTAAAGGCCACACAATTCCATTTATAAAATGGCAATGAAAATGTATTTAAAAAGAAAGGCAGAATGGAGTTGGTGCACCCTGAATGTGTTTTTGCAGGGTTTTATGTGAGGATTTCAGTCTGTACACTTCACCTGCTGCTCTATTTGTCAAATAGAGATAGGGATGGGAGTAGAAGCTAATGGTTAATGTCTCATTAGGATTTCTCATCATTTAAATTATCACTTGCTTTACTTTTTTATGAAATGTTAAGACAAAATGGTGAACCAGTTTTTGGTTTTTCCATGTGAATTCACTTCTGTATTTGATTTTTTCAGAAATAAATCTCTAATGCTGTTTCTCTCTGTGCTTCTGGGTCGTGTGCGTGTGTCTGCGTGGGCACGCCTGGGTGGTGGCCCCTCATCTCCCACTTCACACTGTTCACTAAATGCATTCCAGTAGCTGCTCAAAGAGGACAATTCCATCAGTTTGCAAGAGTGTGTTGATGCATTTCTTTTTTTATTTTATTTTTTAACTTGTTGCTTCTTTAGTACCTTTAAAGTGGTCAAATGGATAGATTTGGCTCTTTTATTTTGGGCTTTTTTGGGGGCAGGAGCGCATTTTGGTTTCACTTTTATGTCTGTGCTTGCAGTACGTTCTGACGTTCATCACAGCAACGATGAATATTAAAATTTGACTGATGGCAAAGATGATGAACTTCTCATATCCCAAAGGGAAAGAGCCTGGAGTCTGTGTTCCCAGGGTCAGTGCAGTTCCATACTTAAAATTTCACTGTGAAAAGCAGTTCTGAGAACATGTCCTGAGTGTGCTGCTGCTTTCTGGCCTCGGGGTTTTCACCAGCCAAAATCAATGGTCATAAAGTAAAATATTAGTACCTGGTAGACCTCAGGCAGCTTGGAATGAGGAAGGTGCCTCCCCCAGCTCCGAGGGACTGGGCTTGTCCTTACAGAAGGAAAAGCTTGATGGAAAGACAAGAGCTGTGCCACTGTAAGTGTGATCTCAGGGAGGTTTTGTAAACTCTGGCAGAATATGTGAGATCTTGGTCTGAAAACAGAACAAGATTTCCCCAAAACCACTGGGCTGACAGGGAAATCCGTGGGTTCTCTCAGCACAGAGGGGAAGAAGGTGGAATATTTTTCCTTATGTGTCTCAGGCCAAACTGAACTGCAGGAAAACTCCCAAGTAACAGAACCGTCCTTGGAAATAAACCTTTGGGATAAGAAGTGGCCAAGGTCTTAGAAAACTTAATTTTGCTGTTGGAATATGGAGACTTGGCCTTACAAATCTGGGTCACCGTAGTGACTGGAGTTTTTAAAGCTTCCCAGCCTGGTGGAGCTCGGCCAAGGGAGTTCATTTACTTTTGGCTTAAAGAAAAGAGCAAGGAAAACTGCTGTGCTCTGTGGTGAATGGAAATGGCATTTGCCCCTAAAGAGACAGTTGTTGTTAAAAGCCAGGAAGAGAAAGAATATATTCCTGTGGAAACTTGGAATTTGTGAAAGCCTTTTTAGCAGGGGATGAATTGGTGGTGATTCAGGGCAGAAACTCAGGTTTCCGTGGTCTCACTTTCACTTTCAGGTCTGCCCTGAGAACAGGACCAGGCCAAACTCCTCAGGAGATCTGTTGGAGCAGATTCATAGGATTTGCCATTTACATTTATTCCTTTTAAGAAATAGAAGTGCTAGACTCGAGGTTATTTTGTCTGGTAACTGTCAGATTAATACATGTGTGCATATGAAATGTACAAGTGTGAATACTTGCTGTATGAATAAACTGAATTAAAATGAATTCATTAGTTGAAAGGATGTATTAAGTGATTCATCCTGTATTTTGAGGAGAAAGACCACTGAGAAGTTCTGGTGAAGGGTTTAAATTGCCTCCAGCTTTGGCTAGTTGATTGAAAATAATGATTAAGTTTCTAGAGAAAAGACCAAAATAATTGTGAGGAGCATCTCTCTGCATAAATATGACAATGATAAAATACTAATATGCTGACAGTGGAGGTAGTTGGGATTCAAGGGTATAGTTCTGGAGAGGTCAGTGTTAATGTCACTGCTGAAACATGGCACTGGGAGTGGTAAAGGGGAATTTCATTTTGATGGCCAGCTCTCTAACATTTCCATTCAAAATTCACCTACATCCCAGTCTCCCCAGTGACTACACTGAGCAGAGAGTAATCAGGACTGCTTGGCAGGAAGATAGTTTTATTGTAAAATGGCGTTAATGTTATTTTGCAGGGTTTTATGCTAGTTTTTATTTAGTTCCTGCCTCTGCTGGGTACTGGTTGAGGATGAGTATTCAAGGCAGCCAGGGCTGTGGCTGAGCTGTCCACAGTGAAGTGCTTGACCTTCATGGACAGAAAATGGGAATGGAAGTCATCCAAAGCACCAACTCTCTGTTTTAACTCTTTTTTTATGTGTAGTGAAAGGTTTTGGAAGGCTTAATGAAAATAAGAGTGTGACAAATGGGATGTGTTGCATTAGGCAAAGAGTGATGGTTTTAAACTAAAAGAGGGTTGATTTAGTGTAGGTCAAAGGAGGAAGTTTTTTACAAGGAGGGTGGGCAGGCCCTGGCACAGGTGCCCAAGGCCAGGCTGGATGGGGCTTGGAGCAGCCTGGGGCAGTGGGAGGTGTCCCTGCCATGGCAGGGGTGGCACTGGATGGTCTCTAAGGGTCTCTCCCAAGCCACCCTGTGCTGTGATTCCATGGCTTTAGGGCTGTGAGATGTGAGGGGCAAAGTGCCCGAGCTTTCCTGGGCAGGAAAAGGGGCAGGGCTGGGGCAGGGCTGGGGTCAGGGGCTCCTGCTGTGTCCAGGGGCTGCTCTGTGCACAGCCAGAGCTCTTGGAAAGGGCTGCATCATGTTTGACATCTGGCAGGTGAGAAGGTCAGTGAGAGCCTCATGCAGTGGCAAAGCTCCCAGGGAACAATTCTGAAAAAAAAGTTTTCACCCTTTTTGAGAAGGAAAAAAATCCTGGATAAATTACTTCAATAACTTGCACGTTGAAACGGGATTTGTTTTTTAAGCAATCCACAGTTGTTATTTAAAACTGCTTTCTTCCCAGGCATTAGCTGTTAGAAACCATGTTTTGCTAGGAAGAAAGAATATGACATTTGCATGAATCATGGAGCCCTTTCCCTGCCTGCATCATGTATTGTGGCACATTCACATTTCCTAGTGGGAAAGGAGTTTCATGGTCCTCGGGTTCGTTACCAAATCCTGGTCTGAGATCAGATCTAGGATCAAGGGTTATTTCCCATTGTGCTCTGAAGGAAACACAAAATGGCTCATGTGCTGCTAGGCTTGGGAGGGCTTCTTCATCCTGGTTTTAATTATGGAACTGAGAACAAGCCACTACATCTTATGGAACCCACCTGGAAAGAAAGGCCTTGTGCATACACTGATTTAACTTTGGTGCAATTATGCCAGAGCTTTTACAATAACTAATTGGATTTTAGCATGAATTGGTCACTCTGTTTAGACAGCAGTCAGAGCTGGAGTTTGCATGGATGGACAAGTTGAGGTGGAGACAGGCATGAGGCTATTTTCCTGTTTAAAGAAGTGTCATTTAACCTTAAATCCATCCAGTGTGTGTGTACGTGTGTGTTTGTCACAGCAGCAAAGCAGCTTGTTCAGGCTGTGTCATAGACTCTGAAAAAGCAGGTTATGAGCCGCCTTCTGTTCGTTAACATCGTTTAATGCTAATTGCTTTTCCCTTCCTTTATGTTTGCTCTCTGAAAAGCAGTTCCCATGTGCTCTGGATGGAGGAGGCAGGGAAGCACCATTCCTCTTCCTCCTGCAGGTCTCCTCTGGCAGAAAGAGAATTCCAAAGTTTGCTCCCTCCTACAAATCTTCCACCAGTTAATGCACACTCTTTGCCTTTTTAGCTTTTCTGTGATTTGGAGTGTTTTTATTGGGGAGCTGCTTCTCACATCTTCTTGATGGTGTGTTTTGACTTCTCAGAGCATCAGAGAACCAGAAGGGAGCTGGAGGGAAGAAGACCCCAATGTTGTGTGGTCAGTACCCGACCAAGAGCGAGGGGAAGGAGCTGAAGATCATGGTGCAGCCGGAGACCCAGCACAGGGCTCGGTACCTGACCGAGGGCAGCCGGGGCTCCGTCAAGGACCGCACGCAGCAGGGCTTTCCCACCGTCAAGGTAGGCTGGCACAGGGACTGCCTGCCTGGGGCTGGCCAGCTCCAGCTCACTGGGCCTGTGCTCTCTGCAGTGCTCAGGGAGCAGACGTGGCTGCAGGGGCTGCACAGGGGCTCTTCCTGCAGGTCACGAGTCTTACTGGCATCGCAGAGTTACAGGAGGAGGGAAGCTGCATGCCAAGGCAGGGATTTAAAACCTGGGATGCACGTTCTGCCAGGCTGCAGTTCCATGGACTGTGTGAATGCAGAGACATTCCATACCTACAAAAGTGAGAGAGTGAAATGCTCTGGCTGTTTGATGGCTGGTGACAGTGGGACATCATTCAGTCCAGTGGTAGTAAAGACATAAAACCAGTTTTCAATTAAAAAAAAAAAAATTGTAAAGGGGATGTTCTGGTTTTGTTGGGTTTTTTTGGGTTGGGATTATTTTTTTGATTGCTTGGTGTATTTTGCTCTTGTTGTTAATTCAGCAGTATCTGAGTTGCTGTGTACAGTGACTTTGAAGTGAGTCATGGAGATCTCACTGAGGTGTTTTACAGTCCGTACTGCTCAGTGTGTTTAGCGTGGTACAGGTGGAGGTAGTAGAAGTTGATGTGGATTAGAACTGGAGAATGGGGGCAAGGAATGAGGCAGCATTTATTTGCACACTTGACAGTTGCATCCTGTTTACTCTATGGACTTTGATGCTTAAAATTCAGGTGCTGAAGGCGTCTTGCTCTGAGGAGAAACACAAGGTTACAAGGAGATCTTTGACATTTCTGCTCAAGAAGGAGTGAGGCTGAGCTCCAGGGACTGCACATGAATGCACAGAGTGGGAATTTCCAAGTCTTGTTTCTTTCCCTTGTAGCCTGGGGAAAGCAGTTGGAGAACTTGAGGGCTTGGGAAGGTTTCCTGATGGAGATGGTAGAGAGGCTTAGCAGGAGCAAGGCTGGGCTTGACTTAGGGTGGCAAACAGAAGAACTGATGTTAAATATCCTCCCACATGATGATGAGAGTCAGCACGCCAGCACCACACTGGCACCTTGGCAAATGGCACACTGGGCATACTGGGAGGAGTGTGGCCAGCAGGTTGAGCGAGTAGACAGATAGGTTTGTTATCATACAGATAAGGAGGGCAAAAGACATTTTAATATTTTTTCTTAGTTATGTCACTTTGAGAAAGCAGCAAAGCAGTTCTCAACCCAAACTAACTTAGCAGGTTTACAGGGAGATGTTTGTTTGTGACACAGCCCTTAAAATTTGTGCTGACTGCTGCTGACAGAATACAGAAGTAGGCTTATCTTCAAAGTCCTGTTCAGCAGTGTTAGGAACACCAGCAGCCCTTCACTCAGTCCTCCTGAGTAATGCAGAACTCCAGTAAAGTTTCATAAGAAAAGAATCCATTCATATCGGCCTGTTGCCATGGGGATTTAGTGCTCATTTATGTGGATTTTCTTAATGGGCCTTTGTTCATCTGAATTTCCTTTTAACTCCTTTCCCAGTTACCCTCTAGCACCCATCAGTGAAAATTCTCTTTGGAAGAGTCTCGTGTTACTGAATTCCTGGAAGTTCCAGTTTGCTTTACCAGTAGGCACAGGAGTTCATACCCTGCAGATAAAACTCTGCCAGGGCTGCACAGACAAATGAGTCAGTGAATCTTCAGGAAATCTGAGCTAGTGGGAAAAAAATATGTTACAGACAAGGGAGTTTTTTGTTTAGTTAGTGAGGTTTCAAGGTGAGGGGGAGCAGTGTAAGGATGTTGGTGCTCAGCAGAGATCTGGCTTGGGAGTGGCTGTGGTGTGTGGCCCTGACACAGGCCGAGGAGGAGCAGCAGATTCAGTGGCCATGTAAATAAAACTCTGATCCTGATGACTTAGAACGTGAGTCTACACTCGGTATGCAACATCAAAATTGTATAACCAAGCCTTAATCGAGGGACTGGCTGTCGAGCCCTTTGTTGTGAGCTGTGCCCTTGGTTCCCATGTGGATGCCTGTGCTGGGTCACCTCCAGAGATCTTGGGGCTTTGCTCATCTCTGACAGTCACATTTGCTATTTGCTCCTCTTGGACATGAACACACAATGATCTTACCAGTATTTCCAGTATTTGCTGGTTTATTTTTTTTCATTTATTCAAACTTGCTACAAACTTCATAACTGCATTTTTAAGTGTGTCAGGGAATAATCCCCCAAGAGATTCTGCAGAGGATTCTGCTCTCATTTGCATCTCCTCACTACTGAACCTAGAGCTTCTTTCTGCAGGTGCTGCCTGGGCTTCCAGGCCTGGGACAAAAGACAACACTGTCACCCAGAAATCCTTGAGCAACGAATGTGTCTCAGTAGAAACACTAAAATACTCATTTTATCTCCTAGAATGCTCTGGCAAGGAATTTCCATCTCTGGCCTGTGAATTTGGCAACAATCTAATGTTTTTTTCACTTGGAGTATTTTTCTTAACTATTTCCTAAAAAGAAGAATTTCCTTTGTAATGCAATGTCTACTTTTACTTCAGGACTTCTTTTACCTCAGAGTATTTTTAGTCTGTGGCACCAGTGGGATCCCACTAATAAAAAATACCCATTAAGAGGACACAAACCATTTCATGCCAGGGTGTTGATATTACAGAAATGAATGTAATTTTTGCTGACATTTATGCGATAATTATGGCTTGCACATGGGCTTGCAGGAGGATGTTAAAATGTCTGACCTGCTCTTATTTATGAAGCATTTCAGTGAATCCTGACATTGTTCCCTTTTAAATAGGAGATGTCAGGTTACCATTTTTAATTTTTATTTTGATGTCTCAAGGAAAGCTGGGCTTATGCAGTTGGATGGTTGGACCATTCAATCACCCATTTCTCCCTCTGCTTCCGTTTCATCCAGTTCTGACTCCTTCAGGGGTTTTGCAACTATTGGACAATTCTAATCTGGTTTCCCGAGGATTTCAAAATGTGTCTGGCATGAAGGTGGGGTCCTGGAATGCACATATTGAGCAGCAAAACCTCTTCACCTCTGGAATCAGCCCCAGGAAATGTTCTCTTTCTTGGCTGGCTGGTGGATGTAGATGCTGGGAGGGAAAGGGGAATAGTCACAGTTGGGGTGAGAACGGGAGGTTGTAAGAGCCGCGAGAGTCGCAGCTGGGATAATTCTGTCTGAAGGCAGACAGGATTGAGGCTGCTTTAGAAGCCAGCAATTAATGATAACAATTAAAGCAGTGGTTCCTGTGCTAATTGCCCACCTGGGTGTTGCAGCTGGAAGGCCACAACGAGCCCGTGGTGCTGCAGGTGTTCGTGGGCAACGACTCGGGGCGCGTGAAGCCGCACGGGTTCTACCAGGCCTGCCGGGTGACGGGCAGGAACACCACGCCCTGCAAGGAGGTGGACATCGAGGGCACCACTGTCATCGAGGTGGGGCTGGACCCGAGCAACAACATGACACTGGCGTGAGTAGCTCTTGCAGGAATATTTCCCTTTATTAGCTTGGGTTTGGGAACTGATTTCCCCTGTTGGATGGGTTACGGTTCAAGTCTGAGCATCTCGGCGCTCTCCTCCCTCTGCTCCTCGGCTCTTGCTTGTAATTCAGTGTACTCACAGGAGATAGCAGGTGATCCCTGTGCTTTTGGGACACAGAACCCAAAATCCTGGGTACATTGCAGTATTCTTTTTAACACATCAGGCTGTGTTTGCTTCTGCTGTTCTTGGTTTTTTGGCTGTTTTTTGCTTTAAATCATTTTGCATGGAGCCTGTCTGAAAGCCACCACTGCATCACTCACCTGGCCCTGTACATCTCCCCTAGGACCACACTTAAGGGAGGACTTATCTGTCACTTCCAAGTCCCACTGAACATAAATAATATGACTACAGTAAGTTTTCTTCTACTCCTGCTTTCTTTAAGTGAATGCAGAATATTTTGAAGCAATAATCCTGCAAACACAGATCTCGCCTGGGGATGGAAGAATGAAGAGCTGTGATTCTAAATTGAATGCTTACCAGAATTATATTGCACTTTCTGTTTTATTCATGCTTTCATATGCTTTTCTGCTATGATTCATCATCCAAATTAGGCAGGGTTGAATGAAAACTTGAAAAAGGTCATAGATTTCATGTAAATAAAAAGAAATCTAATAACGTTTCCATAATTACCTCAAGGCTTTTGACTTTGGCTTATGAAACTACTTGAGAGACTGGTAAAGCTGCTGAACTTACTAAACTATGAAATTCTGCTGTGTTTTGTGTTGTTAGGGTGGATTGTGTGGGAATCCTGAAGCTGAGGAATGCTGATGTGGAAGCCAGGATAGGGATTGCAGGCTCCAAGAAGAAAAGCACCCGCGCTCGGCTCGTCTTTCGCGTCAACATCACGCGCAAGGACGGCTCCACCCTGACCCTGCAGACGCCTTCCTCCCCAATTCTGTGCAGTGAGTGTCAGACCACGGGGCTGAGAGTAGGGGGGTCTGGGTTTCTGTGTGATCTCAGCATGGAAAGGGTGGTCAGGCACTGGCAGGGGCTGCCCAGGGAGGTCTGGAGTCCCCAGCCCTGCAGGTGCCCAAGGAAGGGCTGGATGTGGCACTCAATGCTCTGGGCTGGGATCAGGCACAGCTTGGACTGGATGGTTTCCAACCTAAATGATGCTGTGATTCTGTGAAAATACCTTGGGGACTAAAAAATCAACCCTGTGTTAATCTGTGATAATCTCAGAATTGCTGTAGCTGAAATCAAGTTTATTTCTGGTAGGGTAATAGTTAAAATTATTGTTCAGTATTGAAAAATAGTGATACAATTCCTGATCTTCAGTTCAATGAATTTTTGCCTCCTAAAATTTCTCTGTTTTTGTCATGGTTGCTTTGAAAAACAACAGTTAGTACTTTGAGTTACTTCTGTATTGTCACATTCATGCCTCAGCTTTCAGTGCTAGACAGGACTTGCAGAAAGTCAGCAAGCCTGGCTCTCCCAGCTGTGGTCCTTGCGTGGGCCAGAGGCTGAATCTGTTCTGGTTCAGTGCAAGAACAAAACTTTTTATAGCTCTTTATTAAACTGCTCTGTTTAGCACGAGCACAGATGGCTGCCTTGGCTGGGGAGGTTGCACTGACCAACAGGGAAAAGGGGATTGTGGAATCATGGAATGGTTTGGGCTGGAAGGGACCTTAAAGCTCATCTTGTTCCACCTCTTATCTTAATGAATGAGATGGAGAGCTTTGTCTTTGCATAGAAAGAGTAGAGAAGCTCCTGGGCACTCGTATTGTGCTCTTTCCATGGTATAAAAAGGATTTTTTGGGGTTATTTTTTAGAAGTAGTCATCTTCACATCTCCATTCCAATCAGTAGACTGTGGTGGTATTTCACAGTAATGGAGTTGCTGATACTAATTTTCAGATTTAAGATAAAACCATTTTCTATAAAATCTCAAAACCATTCCTGTATCTCTTTTGTTTGTAACTTTCCACCTAAAGATAAAATTATTTTACCCATAGAAGAAGAGGGAGTGAAAGTCACCTGATGCTTTCTTTAACAGTCCAAAACTTGCTATTGTGAGTGGAAGCTGAGAGTCTGAGATGAAGCATTTAGAGACTGATTTTAAAATAGGCTGTTGAGCTAAAAAAAGCTGCATTTGGTGCAAAGAGTAAATTGGTTTGGGTTTTGGCAGGCTGGGGTTTGGTCACTTGCTAAGAAAATATTCTCAATTGTGTAAGTTGCTAAGAGATTGCCCAGGAATTCTACAGTGTCTCCACTGCTGGAAGTCTTAGATCACAGAAACAAAATACTCTGGTCAGACTTGTGTCTTTGGGGAATATGTGAATAAACTGATCATGGTGTGAAGGTTGGGAGGGGAATTCCTGAGGCTCCTTCCAGGACTCTGTGCTTCTCTCTTAACTTACGCCAGAGCTACAGGAACTTGCAGTAGACCTTGGCCAAGCAAATAGTTCTGGCACATGGCTACTGGCTGATCAAAATGGCATGAAATGTGTTGTTTATTGAATATAAATCATCTCCTCAGGCACATTACACTGGGTTAGTTTGCTGCATAAACCTTACTACAGGTATGTAATGTACCTGCACAACAAGGTTTGCATTTACACTCATCAGAGCCTGTTCATACTGTGTTTTATAATGTTCCTGAAACCTTTGAGAAGGCATTAAGGAGCTGCAGGCTCTTTATTTGAGGGCTGTGTTTTAAATAGGCTTTGTTAACTTGTTAGCAAACCTAAATCCAGTTACTCTTTTCATGTGCCTTGAGCATATTCAGTCATTGCGTAACGGTTGCCTGGGAACCTGCAGCCACAGTTGTAGAAAAATCCTCTCTGAAAGGTCATTAAATAATTTGGAGTGGTACAGGATGTATGTTCTGCTGTGTAGTAAGCCCAGAGAATATTGTTATTAAACACTCAAAGTGGGCCAGTCAAGTGCAGAAACACGAGTCTGGGTGTGTGCCCTGGGAAGGATGTGTAAGGAGAAAAGGTGCTTGAGGAACCTTTGTTAGAAACCAGAATTATTTTATATTGAACGTGTCAAAACACATTATTTTAAAATGTATCTATGTTTAAATTGTCTGCTCATTTACTCATTTAGCACATTTGCATTTAGCTCATTTGTATTTAGCACATGTGGTGTGTTAAAACTATTTGGTTTAAGGTTTAAAAAGAGTAGGAATGGTTTGCAGCAGTGGCAGTTTATGATAAGAATGGTATAAATCATCACCTGGACCTCTGGCACAGGGGCATCCAGGCATGTGTATCTGTAAAATCACATCCCCTTGGCTTGTTTATTTGCTTCAAATTGCTGAAATTTCCAACTCCAGAGATGTGAGTCTTGCAAGGATTTGTTGGGGACCTTGAAGCTCATCCCATTCCACCCCTGCCAGGGGACACCAGGTTGCTCCAAGCCCTGGGTTAGTTCTTGCACCAGACAGAAAACTGTGTCATGTAAAAGAAACTGTGCAAAGCCCCCCAGGTAAAAGGGGAATCACTCCTTCTGCTCTTTTGCAGAGCAGAACAAGTGATTATTGTGATTTCTGTGAGCTTATTGCATTTGGTGAGGAAATAATAGAAATGGTTATGTTCTGAAGAGTTTGTAATGAAATGCATGATAAAGAAAGAAGCTCAGGAGTTTTAGTTTTTCGTTCATAACCCTGTTAAGTAAAAGTGGTTTGGTTTGGATGTTGATGTTTTCTTGATTCCAGACTCTGTGTTTTCCCTTGCAGCTCAGCCAGCAGGAGTCCCAGAGATCCTAAAGAAAAGTCTCCACAGCTGTTCAGTGAAGGGTGAAGAGGAAGTTTTTCTGATTGGCAAGAACTTCCTAAAGGGAACAAAAGTGATTTTCCAAGAGAATGTTTCCGGTTAGTGTGAAAGCAGGGCTGGCTTGGGGTGCTGAGCAGAGCCCGGGGTCGGGGCGTGCTGCTGGGTACAGCTCAGTCAGGGAGAGCAAACTGGGGAGCAGAGTAAAGGCACTGAAACCAATTGCTCTGTGGATGTGCACTAACCTAGGCTTTTTAATTTTCATTTAGATGAGAATTCTTGGAAGGCAGAAGCTGAAATTGACATGGAATTATTTCATCAGGTATTATTTTACTGTATTACTTTTATTATTACTACTCTTACCACCACTACTACTACTACTGTTATTATTACTACTATTATAATTATATTTTTAATTTAAAAAATACACTGACTATTTAAAAAAAAAATTAATCAAGCCTTTCCCTCTTTCTGTGCATTTTTAGAAATAATATTAATTTTTTTCACATAAGGTCTGTTGTGAGTCTGGTGGAATAAAATTTGGGGTTTACACCAGTGAAATTGTTCAGTGTCTAACTGAGAGCTTGGATCCCACAGTGGGTTTGCTGGGCAGGTCTTTACCCTTACATGCAATGGAATTAAAAGGCCTAATTTGGTTTTCCCAGCAGTTTTCCATGGAAGGAGATCGTGTGTACAGCACAGTCTTTATAACTGGCTGAATTTTTGTTCCACTTTGAAATGTTTTACAGAATATTTATTCTTTTTGACACAAATAAATGTCCTCTTTAGCTGCAAATGGTGTCAGGAAAGTGCCATCAAGGGCAGTATCCCACATGTGCATTGCCCCCAGTGCCCTGGGCTTTCATTTATGGTGGTTTATCAGCCTGTCTCTGTCTTTTGATGTAAGTAAGGAGAATTAAGATCAGTAGTAAGAAAATGTGATCCTTTTGCCTTGCAGAATCACCTTATTGTGAAGGTGCCACCATATCATGACCAGCAGATCACCTCAGCTGTCTCAGTGGGAATTTACGTGGTGACCAACGCTGGCAGATCTCACGACGTGCAGCCCTTCACCTACACTCCAGAGCCAGGTGTGTGGGGTGCCCTGGGGGAGCAGGGGCCTTTTCACCTGCCCAGCAACGTGCATCTTCCCAAGCCCCTCTTGCTGGCCAGTGGTGCTCTGTCAATAATAAAATCTAAACGCTTTGCTTTTCTCATTTATGTGCCAAATACCTCAAATTCCAGCTGTCTTGTGACAGCTCTTCTTATATAGCAGCATCCATTTCCAGTTTAAGGATCAAAATGAAGCTGAGCAGGACAAAAAAATCAACATATCCCATACAATGCACCAAATAACCAAGAAATCCCAGCAGGCTTTATCCTGAGGAAATCTGCAATTTGCCCACTTCATGTATTTTAGTTTATTTATTTATCTGTATCACAATAGACAGTGCAAAGGTTTGTGTGGGTTTCAAAGAACCTGAATTTCTTTAAGCTATAAGGAATTGTTTTGGTTTGCTTTGTGTTTTTTTGGCTTGTTTGCTGATTTAACGTAAGGAAGTTCTCAATGTGTTTTGTCTCGGCAGCTGGGACTCTGAATGTTAATGTGAAGAAGGAAATCTCCAGCCCAGCCCAACATTGTTCTTTTGAAGAGGCTATAAAAGGTACTAAATTGATTCTTATCAGTGTTCTTAATAATTTAACTATGAATTCCTACCCAAATTTGGTGATATGAATCAGACATCCTGTGATAAGTCTGTGCTTATAAAATCTGGCCCTATTCTTACAGGGAGGTTTGTTTTCTGACTCTGAAACTTTTACTTTATAACAATATTCCTATCAGTATATTTTAGTACAAGCTAATATAGAACAAAAAAAGGCAAAAAATAAGACTAATTTGTAAAAAAATTTTCATGCATCAGGCTCTGCAGTCTAATCTTTATTTAGATGTTTGCAAGTGAAGAGTAAAAAAAGAGCCAAGAATTGCAGTTAATACAAAGAATTAGAAACTCTGTAGTGTTAATTTAAGCAAATATATAAACTAATATACAGGGTAAGCCTGACATCCATCTAATTTAGTGTGGAGCTTAACTGAGGGAAGATCCCAGCTGCTCCAGGAGAACAGCTGCTGCTCCTTGGAACACAATGTGCTGTTGCTGTTCCTTCGTGTCCTCAGTTAATTTATGCAATAAATATGAATTTACACTCTCCTGGGGGTTTCCGTGTCAGCTCCTCTTTGATGCCTCCTTCCTGTACCTGTTCTGCTCCAGGCTGACTCTGAACCAGAGGTCAGAGAATTTTATTTGCTGTATGTACTTGGTGTGTTCTGTCCTTCCTCACTCTGTACACATGTGCAGAAATTTTACTGCCACCCTACTGTAAGGTTTAAATTTGCTTAGGGTGTGGAGATCTGTTGCTTTACGTTGAAGAGTAGTTCTGTAATTTACTTAAAGGGAGGTATGGAGTGGTTTTACCATTGCCCCTCTTGTTGTGGTTTTGTTTGTGGCTGCAGCAGTGAAGGCCACGGGCTGTAACCTGGAGAAGGTGAACATTCTTCCTAGTGCCTTGATAACTCCACTCATGCCAAGCAGTATGATCAAGAATGAAGATGTGGCTCCAATGGAAGTAAGTGCACAAAACTGCTCTCCCCCCCTGTTCCAGGTGGGGTTTGGGGGGGCTGAGCACAGCAGCTTTCAGACTCTGTGTTACATCTGCTCCTTGGTCCGTGCTTTAGCAGTGGAGAACAGTAATAGACAGGGAAAAGTGCCATGTGCAGGATCAGTCTGGGCAAAACACAGTTACAGAGCATGTGTGAAACAGACAACTGCCTTTAATAACTTACCTGCTTCCTGCCCCCAGACAGATTGATGGGTTAGTGACCCTGTGATGGGGATTTCTGTCCTGTGACACAGAGCAAGTAAATTACTGTAAGAATGTTCTTTTAATCAGTTCTTAGCATTGCTTTCATTAAATTGTGCCATGATTCCATCCTTGAAGTAGCATTTCCACTGCTGATCATTTGTTTGCTGGTTTGGGTGTGTCTGGGTTTCACATCTCACATCTCCCTCTGATCTTCCCTGGACATGGGGGATTTTTGGAAATTGTATCTGCATAACCCCAGTAAGTTTATAAATTACCAAATGTCGTGCTCTTTTCAGGCTTCGAATGTGGTTGGACCAACTCAGCCAACATTGGAAAACAGCATGTCTGGCATATCAACTTCTGCTTCCCATTTACCTTCTGAAAGTGAAAACCAGCAGCAGATCCAGCCCAAGGTGTACAACGCAGAGACCCTGAGCACGATCCAAACGCAGGACATTTCCCAGCCCGGCAGCTTCTCGGCAGTGTCCACGCCGGGCCCGCTGCAGAACAGCGATGCCCTGCTGCAGCAGGCTGCCCAGTTCCAGGGCAGGGACTCGCAGCCCAGGGAGGTGCTGCAGTCGGATGGCACGGTGGTGGCTCTGTCCCAGCTGGCCGATGCCTCGCAGCAGCAGCAGCCGACGCTCTCGGAGCCGGCCCAGGCCCTGCAGCAGCAGATCTCCTCGAGCATCTTCTCGTCGGCCAGCGGCGTGAGTCAGCTCCAGAACACCATCCAGCAGCTCCAGGCCGGGAACTTCCCCACCAACACCGCCACGGGCAGCAGCAGGAACGTCGACTTGGTGCAGCAGGTTCTGGAAGCTCAGCAGCAGTTATCTTCCGTTCTGTTTTCGGGCTCAGACAGCAGCGAGGATGTCCAGGATCAGCTGAACGCAGATATCTTTCAGCAGGTCAGCCAGATACAGAGCAGCGTGAACCCCGGGATGTTTTCCTCCTCAGACACAGCTGTCCATTCCAGAGCAGAGAACCTTTTGCCCGGCCGAGCTGAGAGCGTGCACTCCCAGCCCGAGGGTGCCCTGTCCAGCCAGCAGCAGCAGCAGCAGCAGCAGCAGCAGGCCATGGAGACCTCGGCGGCCATGGTGATGGGCATGCAGCAGAACATGTGCCAGGCGGCCACGCAGATGCAGCCGGATCTGTTCTCCTCCAGCACGGCGGGGAACGGGGCCCTGCAGCAGTCCCCGGTGTACCAGCAGGCGTCCCACATGATGGGTGGCCTGTCCAGCAGCGAGGACATGCAGATGCAGTGCGAGCTGTTCTCCTCGTCCCCGGGCGTGTCCGGCGGCGAGGCGGCCGCCCCCGCGCAGCAGCCGGTGTCCAACAGTGGTGCTGCCATGTTCCAGCCCAGCAGCTCTGCAGAGGGGGAGGAGGCCTCGGGCCAGAGCAAACAGATGCAGAGCTCCGTGTTTCAGACCATGGTTCAGATGCAGCACGGTGGGGAAAGTCAGTCCCAGGTTAATCTTTTCTCATCTACCAAGACCATGATGAGTGTCCAGGCCAGCGGGACTCAGCAGCAGGGCGGGGCTCTGTTCCAGCAAGGTGGAGAAATGATGTCGATTCAGTCGGGAAGCTTCATCCAACAGTCTCCACACTCACAAGCTCAGCTTTTCCATTCTCAGAACCCTATTGGTGACACTCAGAATATATCCCAGGAAACGCAAGGATCCCTTTTTCATAGCTCAAATTCCATTGTCCACAACCAGACCAACACTAATTCCTCTGACCAACTGCAGCCCCCGATGTTCCACTCACAGAATGCCATGGGTGTCTTGCAGAGCTCCTCGGTGCCTCAAGACCAGCAGTCTGCCAACATGTTCCTTTCCCAGAGTTCCATGAGCAACCCTGCCACTCAGGAAGAGCAGATGTCATTCTTTACAAGCCCAAATCCCATTTCTCCTCTTCAGACAGCAACAAACACTGAACAACAGACTTCTTTCCAGCAGCAGACACAGATCTCTCATATCCAGAGCTCCATGCTTCCCCAGGAGCAGCCCCAGACTCAGCCAGCTCAGCAGGGTTTGTTTCAGTCCCAAGTGTCGTTGGGCTCCATCCAGTCCAGCTCCATCCCTCAGAACCAACAAGGAGCCATCTTCCAGCCTCAGCATTCGATTGTTGCTATCCAGAGCAGCCCTCCATCTCAGGAGCAGCAGCAGCAGCAGCAGCAGAACATGATGTTCAGCAATCAAAATGCAATGAGTACAATGGCCCCCCAAAAGCAGAACATGATTTTCAATCCAAACCAAAACCCAGTCACCAATCAGGAGCAGCAAGGCCAGTCCATTTTTCATCCACAGTCCAACATGGCCTCGATGAATCAGGAACAGCAGCCCATGCAATTCCAGAATCAGACCACAGTGTCTTCTCTCCAGAATCCTGGCTCCAACCAGGCTGAAGCACAGCAGCCAACCATCTTCCATAACTCGCCCCAGATTCAGCTGGTCCAAGGGTCCCCAAGTTCTCAAGAGCAACAAGTCACCCTGTTCATCTCCTCAGCTTCCATGTCTGCCCTGCAGAACAGCATGAGCCAGCCGGAGCTGCAGCAGTCCCCCATGTACTCCTCCCAGAACAGCATGGCAGGAATGCCAGGAACTGCTTCTCCTCCCCAGCAGCAGGCTCCTCTGTTCCACAACACGGCGGGAGGTGCCATCAACCAGCTGCAGAATTCCCCTGCCTCGTCCCAGCAGACCTCGGGAATATTCCTGTTCGGCATCCAGAACAGTAAGTGACAGTGCCCCGTGCTGAGCTTGCCATGGGGAGAGCTGCCATAGAAACAGGGAATGCTTTGGGTGGGAAGGACCTCAAAGCCCATTCCATCCCACCCCTGCCATGGCGGGGACACCTCCCACTGTCCCAGGCTGCTCCAAGCTCCAGGGTCCAGCCTGGCCTTGGGCACTGCCAGGGCCAGCCCCAGCTGCTCTGGGCACCTGTGCCAGGGCCTGCCCACCTCACAGGGAAGAATCTCTCACTAATATCTAATCTAGGGAACGATGGTGCTCTCCTAAGAGAGATTTCTCTTGCTGCTTTTGGTTTCCGCAATATTGTTGCCTCTCTTCACATTGCTGAAGGAAAGCAAGGATTTTAGAAGCTGTAGAGCCCAGAGAAGTGTCTGTTAAAGTGTACTTAGCTGTACAAACCTGCACTTTTCCTTGTCTCCTCTCTGGACCCAGGCTCCATGACCGGTTCTGTGGGATGCAGAGCTTTTCTCTGTGTGCAGAGGTCTGTTTGTGCCTGTGAGCCCCAGCAGTGAGAGGTGCGGGAGTTGCTTACACCAGGTTGTAGCAGCTCTCTGGGGTGGGTGCACAGCTGGTGGTGGTGGGGGGCCCTGGCTTTGCAGTGGGAGCTCCTGGCCCGCGCCAGGGCACTGACGTGTCGCTGTGTCCCCAGACTGTGGGCAGCTGCTGCCCCCCGGGCCGGCGGCGCTGCCGGAGGAGCTGATGGCCATGGGGCAGCCCGGGCAGGCGCAGGGCGAGGCGCAGCCCCCCGTGCCCACCCTCCTGTCCCAGCCGCTGCCCGAGACGCCCCCGCTGCCCCCCGCCATGGCCACCAACCAGAACATGGAGAAGATCGACGATCTGCTCGTGTCCTTGCAGAACCAGGGCAACAACATGGCTGGCTCCTTTTAACGAGGCAAGCGGTGAGTTTGGGTCGCTGGGTTCTCTGCTGCCAAGCAGGGGCTTTGTTGGGTGCATTTACACCTTGCAGTGTGTGACCGTGCTTTAAGAGGTCAGCTAAAGCACCACTGAGGCTGAATTAAGACTGTAACACCAGAATGAAGTTATTAAAACCAGTCAGAGGTCAGAAGTTGTATGAAACAGCTGAGACTGTGTCTTGTTAATTTTTCCTACGTTTTGTCATCTGCTGTGAGAGTCGGGTACTTTGTTAGGGAGGAGAGTGGATCACTGGCAGCTTGGCAGGTCAGAACCTTATGAAACATGACTGTGGTTAAAAAACTTGAGACTTACTGAGTAAATGACACCTCAAGTTTGAACTGTTTTTGAACTGTTCTGAACTCTTCCCGGGGGTTACAATAACATAATGTGAAAACAAGTTCTGGTGGAATGTGGCAGCTCTTGAGTGTGCCACATGCTGAGGCTGTGTTAGAAACAGCATCAGCTGTTGCTAGGAGACATTCTGCTTTTAGAAGGTGCCTTTTTCAGAGGGGGGAAGAGCCTTTGACTACAAATGAGCACCAAGAGCCAGGAGGACTCTGGAGTCCAGTGTTGATTGCGGTAACTTGGGGTGGTCTTGTCCCAAATCCCCCCTGAGTTTTCACTGAAGTGATGCACATCATTCCCTAATCTAAAGGGCTTTGTATGTGGAGTTTGGAATCTCTCCAGAGCTTCTCTTGCTCCTCGCCCCCAGTTCAGAGGAACACCCTGAGGATGAAGTCACTGCACAGAAGGAGGAGGGGACTGTGGTTAGTTATGCCTGACTTCTCTGCTTGTTTTCTCACGCAGAAATTCCGTGGAGAAAAAAAAGCGACGATTTCCCAGATCCTCTCAGACCTTCCAACTCTGGATTAGGCTGCGTGGAACCAATTGCTTCTGTGGAAAAGTGGCCTCTTTAAGAGCACACGCGTGGCCAGTGGCAGACCTGAGGCCATGACCATGGAGTTTGGGCTCCACAGTGCCAATAATGCTGAGGAGTTATGCTTTGTGTTACTGGGGCGTGGGGTTGGGCTGTTACCAGGTTCATGAACCTCATTACAGTGGGGGCTCTTGGAATTTAAAGCATATCTGGTCAGTTATTATTGTTGTTGGAAGGTAATCCATGTTACCACGTTTACTTTTTCCCTGCTATTCCTCTTTCCCATCCCTTTTTTCCCTCGGGAGGCTCGTGCAGCAGGAACAGCAGCTGCCTGTGCCCCGAGCCGTGACTCAGCTGTCAGTCAGTGAAGGGATCTCTCATTGACACAGAGTGGGAGAGCCAGACCCACCCTGTATGAATTGAAAGTATTGATAACTGTAATAACCAAGCAGAGAATTGCTGCTGTAAATAACCAGTTCCCATCTGAGAATGGGATTAACGGTTTTCCACATCTGTGGAAGCTGGAGTTACGTGGAGCTGTACATAGAGCAAGGGTTTGGTGGCTCTACAAAATGAAGAAATGAAGGGGAACTTCCAGCTGATCTTAAAATCTTCTCTAAAACACCTTAAGCTTGAAAAGAACATTCTGTGTGGCTGAGGGACTCCTCTGTGTCTCTCGTTCTGACTGATGGGTTGGAGCTCTGTGAAGCCTCATGAGCTGTTCCCAAACCTGCCTTCTCCCTTTTATTCTTTCCATGGTTTTCCTTCTCTCCCTCAGTTTTGTATTTTGTTTTTTTAAAAAAAAGACATAAATATCCTACTGGCTTTAAAGCTAAAGAAACAGCTTTTAGGCATCCTTGGCAGTAAATTGCTTAGTCAGTAGAAGCTTTGACAAATAATCAAGGAGTAAGGAGAGAGGAAGCAATTTCTCCACCACCTTCTAATTGCAGGAATCCCCCTTAACCCGCCACTTCCAGCTGTGACTGATGGAAATCTTCAGCTTGGCTTTACTCCAAGTAGGGGGCAAATTGCATCATTTTTAAGCCTTCTTAAAAGGTCACTTCATCCCGAGCTGTTGCATCTTTGTAGCACATCGCAGTTCTGAAGTGATTTTTCCTTTTTCTACCACCGAGCCCCGAGTCTGGTTTCTAGATTGTCATGTTTAATTAAGGAATAAATCATCGACTGATGTTACCGAATGTAAAAACAACCCACTCCAGACCATGCAGGTGTATTGTGAGGCTTGTGGATTTTTTGGGTGCTTCAACTCTCCAGACAGTGTGTGATCTCTCACTACAGCCTCGTTGAGATCCGTGTTCCCCCGCTGCCGCCGGAGCCGAGCCGCTCCCGCGGCGCCCGTTCCGCCTCGGTAGAGTGTAGCCGGTATCACGTCATTCTTCATTTTTGTTATTTGAAATAACAAAGGAACAGTCTGTAAATGGGTTTTTTTTAAGTTCCTCGAGTCTGTTTACTGTGTGTTTTCCCCTTAACTGGTGTGCGTAGTTGAGCCGTGTAGAGTTTTTGTTGGTTTTCCTGGATTTCCCCGTTTGTTGGTCTGTCACACGTTCACTTTCTCTTTCTGTCTCTCTCTTTCTCTCTCTCATTGAGAGGCATTGAATTACGTTTTCAGTAGTAAGGCTTCTTGCCGATATGAAGGGAACTTTTCAGAAAGAGACCTGCTCTGGGTCATTTAATTTTGAATACAGTTTTCAATCGTTCAAGTTTTGGATGGTTTATATCTAATGTGTGTTTCATTTTTTTGGAAAGCTATATTTTGTATTTAGGAAATGGTATAACTATTTTGCTATTTGTACTGAGTGAGTACATTGGCATAAATATAAAAATTTATATATATACATATATATAAAATATTCTTTTTGCCACACATTTTTGTGGTAAATTTGTGAGTTTGTCTGATGTTCTACCACAACGTGGCGTCTGATAACAGTGGGGTGGGGTGGGGTTTGTTATGTCTTTATTGAGTATTTAAGTACTTTTTGCAACATAAATAACGTGTTCATCTCTCGCCATTCCATCAGGCAGTGTTGGTCCAGCTGGCCACGAGAAGCTTTGCTCTGTATTTGGTGTGTCCCTCACTCACAGCCTAGCCAGGAAACCCAGAGGCATTTAGGATTATATAAAATATGAAATATTGGGGTTTCCCTCAGAATGAGCCATTCAGCTTTTCTCCACTCTCATTGCCTATTTAATATTTTATTATTAGCGCCTCTGTGTTTTAACTCCTAATTTATGATTATGCTCAAATGTTGGAAATTTTAATCAGGACAGAAAGAATTCCCTGCTGCATCATGTCCAGAGCTGCTTTAACCCCGACCCAGACTTCTTTCTGTATTTTATTTCTTTTCCCCTGCTAAGACAAAACATTACCAACATCTTGTAATGGTTCACAAGATGAAAGCAGCAGCCCCCAGCAGTGCCCAGGTGCTGTGTGGGGCTGCTCAGGCTGAGAACAATGGACCCAACAACGTCCAGAGGGCCGTGGAAGTCCATAGGCACTCACTGGGAAAGGAACTGGTGGTGTTTGCAGGACGTGTGTCCCAGGATGAGCTGTTGGCTGTCACCTGGGGCCATGGACACGGAAGGAGTGACAGGAACGATGGATTCGCTCGCGTGCTGCTTCAGTTTGCTCCTTGTTCCCAAGGGCTTTATCCATTTGTTGGTCAGTGCCAAGTCACCAGGGACCAATTCTCCATGGAACAGGATGAGTGCCCAGAAGAGAAGCTCATCCCAAGCCTGCCACAGCTCCAGGGAAGGGTATGTTTGAATTGTGGGCGTGTTTGAGGTCACTCATGAAGAGAAGAGAGAAAAAAACATACACAAAAAACCAACCAAGGGCTGTGCTATCCCAGTTTTCCCTTCTGGAAACACCTTCCTTTCCTCGTGTTAAATTTACCTGTTCATTTTAGGTCAATGTTTAAATGTACAACACTTTGAACATGTGATTTGGTTACAAGAAGTATTTGTGTGACTGAAGAGGTCGCTCAGCGGTTGGCGCGTGCTCGGCAGCGGCTCTGAGGGCGGAGGGGTTGGACCAGCCCCAGAGGAGCTGCAGGATGTCATGGCAGGGAGCACAGCCTGAGCCCCAGCTGTGTCTGCCCAGGGCCCTGAACATTCAATTCTGAGCAGTTGAGGTTGGGCAGCAGAGCTCCTCTATGACCCCTGTGTTCCAGGAGCACACGCAGCACTGGTATCGTGTCTGGGCCCTTTGGTGACAGAGAGGATCCTGGGGCACCAGGCCGTCAGTGCAGCATCCCTGGGGGTCCCAGAGCACCCATTTGTGGGCACAGGTGAGGGTTGAGGGAGATGGAGCTGCCAACCCCCCCACATCCCCTCAGCTTTTACCCTGAGTGTGCCCAGAGCCCACCCAGACACCCCGGAGCCAACACCTGGTGCACGGTTTGAGCTGAACATCTCCTCTGGCACGGAGTCACTGGTGCTTTGTGCTTTATTAACAGTTGCTTTGGTATTAATTGTCCTCCTCACTGCCTGGGCTTGCAGCAGGCCAAACGCTTCGCTCTTACTTTAGCACAAATCTAGTTCAAGTTCAAGAAATAATTCCAGGCTGGCTGTTCTGAAGTGGGTGTCCCCTCCATGATCAGTGATGATGATTTCTTCTAATCACTGGCAGGGTGGCTGCTTCCATGTAGTTTTGAGATAAAACAAGGCACGAGCAGTTAAACATAACCTCGGCAGGTTTTTACTGGGCAGCTGTGTCAGTGGACCTTCCCCTCACTTGCATAAGCTGAACTTTATTTTTTAAAGTTTCCATTGATATTTTGATTTAGAATCTCATTTCTGAAAGGAAAATATGTCTGAATGGATTTTTATTCCTGTTTTGTCGTTCCTCTGCTTGGCAAACTGTTGGGTTCCTTTTCCAGGGCCATTGTGGGAGAGCAGAGGGAGCACAGGCATGGATCTGAGTGAGGGGAGCAGGAGAGAGGAGAGGGAATTGCTTGGCATGCTCTGAGCTGCAGGTGGAAGGCAAGAAATTCTGGTCACTGGTGACTGCTCATTAGTGCAAAATGGAATTTTATGGTTTTGGGGGGTTTTGTGTTCAGGGGGCTCGGGGCAGCTCCATTCTGTAGAAGCTAAAAGCAAACAGCAGTGGGATGCTGTGTTTGTTCAGGGGCTTTGCTTTATTTTGGGCTGGTTTAGTCTTTTGTGGCAGCCTGTGAGCATTTTGTGTTCCTGCCCAGACCAGCTGTGGTGCCACAGCACCGAGGGCCAGCGTTGGGAATGGGGTAAACGTGTTAGAAACAAGGAAAAATCAGCAGGGGGTGAACTCCTGCCAAAGGGAACTTGTGGAATTCTCTAGAGTGCAGGAGGGCACACAGGAGGAGAGGCTTTTCCTCTCCCAGTCTGTATAGGGATGTACATATGCACTGCCTGTATATTCTAGGATTATATATATGTATATAGAGGAGTCAGATTATTATATATAAATAATAGTAGACACAGCATTAGAATACTGTTATATTTACATTTTTATAAACATGAAACAATACTCCTTTTCCTCAGTAGGAGGTTTTTGTAGTAACTCATGAGTAGCTGTCTCCACCTCTCAGTCCTGGATGTGGTCCTGTTGGTGACATGGATACAGAACTTGCTCTGCTTGGGAGCCTGGCTGGGACCTGTGGCTTGCAAGCAGCTGTGGCCACTTTTGTGGTTTTGTATCTTTTGGTTCATCCTTGCAGATGTGGTTCAGGATAGAGCTGAGAGCCAGGCTGAGGCTGGGCTTCCTGCAGCCCTGAGCATCCCTGGGCTTCCCCTCCAGAGCCGTTTCCATTGCCAGGGTGGCAGCAGCTGCTGCAGACAGGGCTGGGTGGTGGCTGTGCTGCCCAGGACCGGGCTGGCACCAGCCCATGTGGGGGATGTTCCGGTGTAGCACAAGGTCCCTGCTTCTGCTGGGTCAGGAGGGGAAACTCCTCTGCCATTTCTCTTTATTCTCATGAGGGCAGGAGTCTGTAAACTGATTTTTTTAACTGATGCATTAGTGCAACAATCAAAATCTAGAGAACTCCTTGAAAGCCAGTGAAGCTCCCCTTGAATTCTGTCCGTGGGGAACCTGCCGCAGCTTGTGCTGATTTCTTTCTTGCAGGTTGTGTGAGGAATTAAACCCTAAGAATCATAGAAGCATAGAATATCCTCAGCTGGAAAGGACCCACAGGGATCATTCAGTCCAACCCCAGGCCTGCACAGACACCTGAATAATCCCACCCTGGGCCTCCCTGAGAGCACTGTCCAAACTCTCCTGGAGCTCTGGCAGCCTCGGGGCCGTGCCCAGCACCCTCTGGGGGAAAAACCTTTCCTGATCTCCAACCTAAACCTCCCCTGACACAGCTCCAGCCTTTAAATCAGGTCATACATTCAATAATGTGTATTGTGTCCAACATGACTTTCAATTCCAAATCTGTGTTCCACTGGAATTTGTCCTGAGTGGATCAGTGTTATCCTGGTACAGGCCTTCTGAAATCACCTCCACCACTGAGAGCCAGTGTCCTCCCTTGTTCTCTTGGAGTTTGCAGAGCTGAACTCTGCCTTTTCCAGGGATCTGTCATTTTTGCTGTTACACTTCATTAAATTGCCCGGTGGCATTCACTGTGTAGGGACAGGGCAGGAACCCAGGGATTCCCTGCTCACTGACCCCTCTGTTCAGGGTCCAAGGTCCCAGCTGCCCTGTGTGACACATTCCAGCTCCAGGCCTGGGATCAGGGAGGGCTCCTGTGGTCACTGACAGGGAAATGGCCTTGGCTTTGTTTTGGCTCTGGAGCTGCCCCGTGGGATAACGTGTCCAGGGGGAGGTTCCTGTTTGGAAGTGGCTCTTTGGGTCTTGCAGAACTGGGATCCCAATCCAGTACCCTTAGCAGCCTGCAGCATTCCTGGAGCTTTTTTATTCTGGATAAAAGGAGGCAACTTGAATTATTTCCTGAGCTGATGCTGAGTTAAGCTCCAACCCCTTCAGAGCAGAGCTCCAACCTCTGTCTCTGTCCCTGCACCTCGGCTGGGCTCTCCCCTGCCTGCCAGATGTTCTGGGTGCACCCTTGACCGCTGAGCTGCCTCTTCTGTGTCCTGCAATGTGAAAGTAGCACCAGATACTCCTTCGTGCAGTTTGTGTATATGGCTTTCGTAGGTGGGTTTTCCAAGCACTGATTCCCGGTGTTTTCAGTTTGTCTATGAGGGGATATTTTATTTGCATCTATGTTTTTAGCTCTCCTGTGATAACTTGTTGAATATTAAAAAAAAAAAAATATTTTGCTTCTATTGGGACATTTGTATACTCGCAACTATATTTCTGTAAACAGCTGCAGTCGAGAATAAACAATGAAAAGTTTTCATTTTACACTGTAAAGTCTTGTGATGGTTTTACCAAGGGCATCTCCAGAGCTGTGCCCAGGGTGCTGCAGCTGCTGCAGGAAAAGGTCCTGGGGAAGAATCACAGTGACTCGGTGGTGTGGGACCCCAGGAACCCCTGGGGGAGAGGCAGAGGCTGCCCCAGGAGGTGAGGCCAGGAGTCCAAAGCTGGAAGTCACCACGTCCTCATCAGGCTGTGTGGGTGCCTTTATCTGCAGCTTTGGCACACTCAAAGTGCCCTGGGGCTGGAGAGGCCCGGAAGTGTTCCCCTTTGCTGCTCCCACTCTGCAGCCTATGACCTCCCCAAGACCAGGGGCCACAGCTGCTATCAGCTATTTCCTTACTTTGAACAATTTCAGCAGGGTTAAGGAGAAATTGCAGCAAGAGCTGGGCCCAAGAGTCAACTGTGAAAGATTTCAGCAGATTTATCCACAAAGCTTTACCCCAGAGTCTCCCCCTTCAGCCCTGGGCATCACCCAGAGTCACAGTGGGACACAACTC